AAAACAAATACGCAATATATTAATGGACAAATCTTTATTTTATTTTATTAAAAATACTTCACTAAAAAATATGATATTTTGTATGTGAAAGACATATTATGTTAACTGAAAGACTGATAAATTCCGTGAAGATATACACAGTATACTGAAAGTTAGAAATATTAAATCTATAAAGACTTTAAACAAGTACAACGAGGTCACATGGTCGGTCAAATTGACCGACCCCATGTTGAGATAGTTAAAGTGAGGGCTAATAATGCTCAAAATTGGATTTTGATTTTTTAATTTTAAAAAATTAATTGTAATTAATGCACAGATGACCAATTTTGTTGCTTTATGCTAAACAAGAAACTTATAATTCATTGTATAATAACAAGTAACATTTTAAAAAAGTATTAGTTCTTGGGCCCAATAAAACATAAATTTGTTTACTGGGACAGAATTTCTATACATATTAAAAGACAATAGTATGAAACTTAAACACATGGACATCTGATTTGATTATTTTGCCCCATAGTAGAATATTGGTAAGTCTGCAGAATTATAAGTCTCAGTAACCAGTGGTAGGCACAACACACATAATCCACTGTGTAGCTTTGCACTTAACTACAAAGAAACTGAATATTTTATCTTTTTTTGAATATACTTCTGCTAAAAAAAAAAAAAGCTTTTTTGTGTCCATCTTACTAGTATATTTCATGAGTCTCATCACTTAAATTGATCTTAATTTGTACCATGTTTGAACACTTCTGATTTAGTTGTGATGTTTCCAAGAGCTGTATCAGAAGTAACATCAAGTATACTTTTTGTGGGCTCACTGGACTTTGTGTTTTTGATTCTTGATGACTAGTGGAGTCTAAATGTCTTATAGATACTTTTTAAAATAATTACGGAGACTTGTTTCACTGTATACTTTTATAATATTATTATTTATAATTGAATCTTCTTTAAAACTTGTAGTTTTAGAAGTAAACACTTTACTTTTCTAAGGAGTTTTTCTGGTATTACACACAAGTTTTTAATTTTTATATTTTATATATTTTTTTTTTCTCAGATGTGTTTAAGGAACAAAGATCACTTCTTGAAATTGGGAGATGTTGCCTCAGCTTCGAAGTATGTTGAAATATTTTGTTTGGAGTATATGCTCAGTTTTAATTCTGAAATAGATTTACGTATGGTGTTCCTACTTTGTAAAACACCTCTTTAAATCTTTTGTAATCATATTTTATATCTTATTCTTTTTAAAATAGTTTTTACTAGCAAGCCTGATAAAATATATCTAAAACTGATGTTGATTCAGTAACATGTTATAAAAGAAAATTTCCATTAAATCAGGACTGTTCAGAATTGTAATTGACACTTTTACACTGGAAGTTTAGAGGTATTCAAGCCGGTTGAGTGTCAAACCTGATAAAGATTAATCTTTCCAGTTGGCATCATTTTCTAAATCAAACACATACATAGCTTTAGTGAAGAGGATTGCAGTAAAATCAGTTTCACACTTAAAATAGTCTTTATTGGCTTGTTTGTAGTGATGCCCATTTTCCAGGTTATTTGTTATGTCCTACAGAAGAAGAAAGAATAACCCACATCTCTGTTCCAAGCTTTATGCAGTCCAAAACTGTAGAGGCCTGGCATGGGCAGTTGTGGTTACTGCGCTCGACTCGCAATCTGCATGTCTCGGGTTCGAATCCCCGACACACCAAACATGCTCGCCCTTTCAGCCGTGGGGGGTGTTATAGTGTGAAAGTCAATCCCACTATTCGTTGGTAAAAGAGTAGCCCAAGAGTTGGCGGTGGGT